GCCGCACTATCGCACTTTCGTGGGCTAACTGGCTCACTTTTATGTAATGGCCGGACGAAGACTGGCTCCTCCGCTTTTTGCGACTTTTCATATTCCAGAAATCTGATATGAATGACCTTCGACCAGTCTTTGATCTGACTTTCATGCGTGTAAGAGGGCCCGCGTTCGCCCGCGAGAACATCACATTCGCAATTTGTTCCAAAATGCGACTTACAGGCATCTTTGATATTCTTGAAAGTTGGTTCTTTGTCGAACGGCACGAGGGTTAAAGGGCCAATGCGGTTGTACTTTTGGCACTTGCCTTGAACGTTTGCCGATAGTCTCTGCACAGTCAAGAAGCCTTCAGATGCACTGGGGCTAGCTTTATCGCTCTTTGCACCTACCCGTCTCTTTCCTTGGCGCTCCTTGTAGTCGTCCCATTGCTTACGTTTACCCGACATGATTGAAACAGAGAAATCATGCAAACATCGCTTAGGAGCCACGCAAAAGATCAGCGAAGTGCATTGTGGGCTCTGGCATCGATAGGCCATGAACAACATTCTTTTTTTTTAGAAAAACCTTATGGCACTGCTAGGCCAAGGAAATATTATTTTCGTTTCATTTTACTTTTGCTTAAAAATTATTTTACTTTACTTTCTATTTTTTCGTTTAAATTTGATTTAAAGTATCTCGATAATAATTTTTTTTCGTTTAAAGTTTAAAAATAAAATGAAATAAAATAATAAATTACGGGGAACTTACAAGATACTACACAATTTTCTTATGGCACTCCTAGGCCACCATACATATGTAACATAACAAATTAAAATCCAAACTGGTAGGAGGCGAACCAGTTGTCTATTTTATAGGCGTGGTCGAGCTGGCGGTTATAAGGGCGGGACTTGAACCCGGGGCCTCAACGAGTGGACCGATATATGAGTTACTGAAATCGGTCTCCGAAGGTCAAGTTAGTTTTAAGTTGAGACACGGGCTGTAGCAATACCTTTTCAACAGGAAATTGTTAAATTTGCACTTTCGTTGACTAAGAAACATCATTTTCCACGTAGTTCAGATGTCTTCAATCGGCCATGTGTAGGTTTTACGGTAGGGCTTAAGATCGTTAATATTCAAAATGACTGAATGTTATCATTCAGCAAACTAGACAATTCGGTAGTTCAAAAATAATTTTAATTGTTAAGTCTTTTTAATATCGTTTCTTGCGACAACGAATACGACCCGTAGTGGTGCCGCAACGGCTGATCAACAAATCACGACTTCTGGTTCTTACTTAATTTGTATCGCGTTTATTGGTTTCACATGATTAAAAAATCGTTTAATATCAGTTTTTGTCTTGACTGTAGTGCCAAGTCTTCCTCCGGCGGATATCCGAGCATACAACACAAGCTCGACAAGTTTGACGGTGACGTGGAATCCCGTCCCGCAGGGGTATACCCACGGGATCGTCCTGGGGTATTTGGTTTTCTACAAAAGACAGCAAGATGTTGACGGGAATTTCACTAATGCATCAAGCCTTGTGCTCTCTGCGGATCTTGAAGATCTTGACAAATTTACAGTGTACATTGTAAAAGTGTTGGCGTTCACCATAAAAGGAAATGGCGTGATTTCAAATGAAACCAGTGTAAAGGACACACGAAGACGGTGGGTAACCAATAGTTATTGTAAGCAAATAAAAGTATTGTGTGAACCTTAGTAAAATGGGTTCGGTTCGGAATTGTTTTGCTCATTTTTGGCTTTTGAGACACTATATAGCAAAGCTCATAATTAACTCATCAGGCGACCCAGTCACCACTAGTTAAAGGCATACTTCATGAATCTGCCCGGAAACATACGAAATGAAAAATGTCGTTTATGTCTTAAAGATATACAGAGAGTAGGTAGTTACTATTTTTGTAAGTTCCTCACCTAACTGCATGGAAGGCACCTCAAAAGAAAACCATTTCCCTTTACAAGAATGTTTGCGTGCTTAGTTGAGCTTTAGTTTGTTTTTTAGCACATCTTTACTTTCATTTTAGTACCAAGTCTCCCACCGTCAAACCTCAGGGCAAACAATACCAGTTCAACCACTCTACGGGTCACGTGGCTGCCTGTACCTCAAGAGTTTCTCCATGGAATTCTCGTCGGATACCGTCTCTTTTTTAAGGCAGACAAAAACCTGTTTTATGAAAACGTGACAACAGTCAATCAAACTCTGGAACTGACAGGACTGGAAAAGTTTACAAATTATTCTATGAAGATTTTGGCGTTCACTCGCATTGGAGATGGAAATGTATCACATTCAGTGACTGTGTCGACTGATCAGGATGGTTCGTAAAAAGCTATTTTTCCTAATTCGTTTAATTTAACAGATTAGCTGACAAGCACAGCGGTTTCTTCTCGCGGCTCAACCTGTCGGTATCGCCTTCTCCGGGAATTTTCCTTCATAAGGCGCCATGGAAATTCGCAAACAATTTATCGGGACACTAAGTTTTGGTCCGTTTATGTACTGAAGTTACGTGAACTTTTGTATCGATGAAAGAAACCGTCCTGGAATCGGGTAAAGAGGCCTTAAAACCAATGGGAGCTGAGGGACTGAAAAAGAAGCAGTTTATTGTTTGTAGAACTAATTCCAAGGTCAATAGCTAGGGACATTGAACGATTCAAAATGAATAACTCATATACAGAATCTCTTGTTGTATTTAGGTCACTGAGAGAGGTTCCATTTCTTTTCTTTCTGAATACTTACCTGAGATGTGTACAAGTTAATCAATATTTTTATTTACAGTTCCCAGCCTCCCACCAACGAATGTGAGCGCACATAACACAAGTTCCACCAGTCTTCATGTAAGCTGGCATGAAGTGCCGAAAGGCTTTGTTCACGGCATCCTGCTTGGTTATCGCGTTCTTTACAAAATAGCAAATGTAACTGAAAACAAAAGTACTACTACAACATCAGAAACAACTAATAAAAGAGAGTTGCAAGAACTAAAGAAATTCACCATTTATGAGATCAATGTACTGGCGTTTACAGCCATTGGGGATGGGGCAAATTCCAAGAGCATACATGTCTCGACTGATGAGGACGGTAAGAGGTTAATTTGATTACTTTGATGGCGATGATGATGACGACGACGACGATGATGATGATGATGATGATGATTATTATTATGATATGGGAATCTTTATAACGATTCTTCGGAGTGATTAAGGTACTGTAAATGGAAGCAAGGTTCGCTGACAGTACTCACTATCTTTTCATGCCCGTGTAGATTGATATAAACACTTGCACGTGATCTCTCTGAGATCCTTTTGAGAGGTAAACAATTCCATTGCAAACAATTAACATCAAATTGTTTCATTATAGCGGAAAACTTGCTAATTCATTAACGATAAAAGCGTGGTGTATTTTGATTGCAACAACGGCCGGAGACATAATGCCCATAAGTAAACAACAGTGACGCGAATTTTAACACACATATATGTAAACAGCTTTTTGCCCCTTTAAAAACGCGTACCCTTGTTTTATACCTAAATTCTTTCTACCTCAAAAAACAAAGGATCCTTTACACCAAGACAACAAGCTGAACGTATACTTTCAATAAATTAATTGTAGTTCCCAGTCTACCTCCTGTTGACTTGTCTGCACATAATACCAGTTCTACGAGTATCCAAGTGACCTGGGGCGAGGTGCCTGAAGGATACGTTCATGGAATTCTACAAGGTTACCGCGTGTTTTACAGTGAGATGACCGCAAACAGAAACATCAGCTACGTGAAGGTAACAACTGACCCAGAAAATCGCCAGCTTCGGGTCACAAGACTGAAAAAGTTCACCAAATATTCACTGAAGGCTCTGGCTTTCACAAGAAAAGGTGACGGAGCTGTTTCTACCGATATCTCGGTCGTCACAGAAGGAAGACGGTAACTATTATTCCATTGTAGTTAATAGAATGACGCGTCGGGGCAGCGCATTGAGGATTTACGGACGGGTGTGAATTGTTGAACACAACTATTATGATTGAATATTCAAGTTATAAACTCAAGGCATATGAAAATATATAGATTGTTATTTGTTTACGCAGATAAAGTTAGAACTATCTTAGAAATAGATCAATAATTTGTGGTGGTGAAAAGATGAAGTCCATGTCCATGCAGCCTACGGAAACAAAACAAATCAAAACTGATACAATAAAGCTTTGCCATCGCCTTTTTAAGCATTATTTTCTTATCTATGGCAGAATAAAAGAAATTTCCTTAAATGTATCCCTTTAATTTCTCTCTTTGTTGTGGTTTTGCGTACTGTTTCCGTTTTTTAGTGGTTTTTTAAATCTCTTAGTTCCCAGTTTACCTCCCCAAAACGTCCACTCTTACAACACGAGCTCTACCAGTGTGAATGTAACCTGGGAAGATGTCGCAATTGGTTTTATTCATGGAATTCTCAGAGGCCATCGAGTATTCTACAGCAGAACTAAAGACAATGGTGCAGCAGTAAGACAGGCTGTCATTCGTGCTGACAAGCACTATGTTCATCTGGAAGGACTGGATAAATTCACAAATTATACAATACAAGCGGCTGCTTTCACAAGGATTGGATATGGCGTTAAGTCAACAAAATTGATAGTCTCTACTGATGAGGATGGTATAAAGTTTCATTTATTACCTACTACGCTGAAGTAGCTTGAAAGACAAATTTATAGTAGCAAAATACAAAAGGCTTGCAGTAGCAGAGGAACGCTCAGCAGTGAAACACTTTTGTTTGTCTTTAGGCCGGACAGTCCGGGAGATATCCATTTCTGGATATATGATGACGTCACTGATAATTGCATCTTGGACCTTCAAAGATAAATCAGTATTCGTAGCGCTTTTCCGCCGCTATTATTTTGGTTCCTTTCATTTATGCCATGAGGCCAAGCGTTATTTGTAAAGGATTTGCCGGACTTTAGGGTGCTTATATTTAAACGATCCGTCAGCTAATTCTTTAAATAAAGTTAGAACAGGTTTTTAAAGACCCGTGTCAACTATAACCACTTTTCACTCTTCTTTGTTTGTTTTTTTGTTTGTTTTCGTTTATTGGTTTTTTTTCCCTCTAAACAGTTCACTTGCAAACTATTTACATAAAGGTTTAAGACACGAAAAAAGTAATAAAAATCGTGAATCTATACAGCTATGAAGGTCGATACTGTTTACTACTATGACACGAACTAGGTAAAGAGTAGGTCAGTTCTTACTCAAAACAGACAGTTATGTTATTAAGGGATTAAAGAAACGTTATCTAAAAAAACGTTAAGCGTCACGTTAAAAGTTAAACCAGGTACGTGCATGGTGCTGACAACACTAAACTTGATAAGTGAACAGTGACAAAAATATCGCAGTTTATATTCTGTAAACGTCTTTCATTTTACTTTCAACAATTTGATACCTTTTTCTAAACCATTTTTTCTAATAACGGCCAATGCCTTCTAAGTGCTTGTCCTTACCATATCTGTTTCCTCAGGGACTTGCAGATGTCGGTCTATGATCCCAACTAACTGGTGGAATAATCCCCCGTATGTTACGACCCAAATCGCCAGCAACATTAGCCGTGAAGGTGGCATCCTACCAGTTATACTAGAGAGTATTGTCACTTCCTGCTGTCAATCATGTGGACTTCCCAAAATCGTTCATTTCGGGATCGCTTGAGGGAGTATGGTGGTCGTTCGTTACCATGACGACAGTTGGGTAGGTAGTCAAGCGTATGGCCGTAACCGCCTGTTAAAGTAACTAAACTTAAATCACTATTTTTGTTAGTATAAATTTAAAAACTTTAGAATAAACGTCGACGACTTGTTTGCGGCAAGGTTAGCTTTGTTGTAGAAAGCTGGACTAAAGAGTAGATGGTAGCGGGTCACCCCCGCTATCCGAGAGTCTGGACCAACAGTTAAACGAAGGTACTGACTTTGCCCTGCAAAAGGCTACATTTTTTAGATTGGTATGACTTAGTCAAAATGGTGGTTTCTCCTGCAGCTGATTAGGTATAGAAAAACGATGTCTTCAGTTTAGGACTCTTTTTTTTGGCAGTTATGGTGATCGTATACCTAAGTCCATTCCCGCGCGCCTATTTGCGTTTCTATGGACGTGGATCGGTATCGCTACAATGGCAGTGATCACAAGCAGCATTACAGCTTCTCTTATGAGTATGGTGTTTCAGCCAGAAAAGATGCTCTATGGCACAAAGGTACACAAAAAGCTTTTTAAGCTTTCATATCTGAATTCAAATTTCGCACCAGCCCCGGGTTATCTTAGCCGAGCTTTGTGCAACCCGGCCCGGGACCTAAAAGTGGAAATGGTACGAAAAACAAACAGGAAAATAATAATGATCTAATTTATCTCTTTTATCAAGGCTAAAGAAGTACTAAATACCTATTCTATATCCACAATTTTATGAAAGCAAATCTGGGCGAAAACCGGGCATTCAATGTCGCGGGAAACAGAGTAATTTGTGAGGAGAGAAGAAATACGAGCTCCCTTAAAAACGCCTGCGTGGGAGGCTATATCACTCTCGGACGTCATAGATTTTGCCCATTCAGAGACTTTTTTGCCGAAATTGTTTTTAGTTACTGATAGATGTGATTTGAACTTAAGGCAAGCAATGTGAGCGCGCGCTATTTTAAAGGATTTCCAGCTATATAAAAAATTTACATCATGTCACTTCCGTTCATGTTAGTACAAGCCGCTGGAACTGTTTTTCTCATTTACTCTTAATATTTGATTATTTCAGGTAGCTGCTATTGCTAACTCAACTGAATATAAACTAGGACTCAGAAGAAACGCCAAACTAGACACAGGTTAGGAGAAAGGTGAAAGGTGGTAATATTTGTTACCAAGAGATGAAGTTGATGAGGCTAGTTTATCAGTAGCCTCTAGTCATTGTTGTCAATTTTAGTTTCTCTAGGTCTCTTGTCACTTTTAGTTGTTATTATTTCCTGTAATTGACCCGCCCAGATTAGCATAAGTACCCGCGTGCATGTTACAATTGTACTTTTAACTTAAAACAAAAATAAATTTATGATGACGATGATGATGATGATGATGAACCCTTAAAACTGATTAGAATTCATAAAAAAAAAATGGTGGAAAATTTATTTCTTTACAGCAATATTCACGTCTCATCAAAACATAAGGATAGTTTAATCAGGTGAAAATAGAAGATAAATCAGCTTGCTTGACATACTACCAGTATTACGTTAAGTGGAAATTAGATGTTTTTGCAGCAATCATAAACCTGTCCCAAAGGAATCTAATCTTAATGAATGGAAAATTGATTGATTTTCAGGTCGCTCGTACGGGAACTTGTACCAAATTTATGAAGACTTCGAAAATGATCGTGTACACGCAGCGCTGTTGGACTCGTACTCGACGGCGAGCGAAAGCAAGTGGTCCAGTGAAGACTGGCTCCGAGTGATTCAGATCATTCCTGTGAGATACGAATCTGCCAATGGACTTGTACTTACTGGTGACGTCATGAAGTTAGCACAGTGTTTTCGAAGTTATGTGCGCTCAGAGACAAGTTATATACACAGAATTATACAGAGTCATGTGGGGTCTATTGAGGTTAGAAATTCAGTTCGAATTCTTTTCTATTCTAGTCATGTCAGAACACAAATACCTTTGGCTATGTTTAACAGGTATGTTTGACTGGCATAGGAGTAGCCAGGATTTTCCAGAGGTAGGCCTCGTTGGAAACCGACATTCGGGTGTTTTTTAATGCTTCAAACTCGCAAGAAGAGTTAAATGAATAATTAAGTCAAACTGTGCTTTATGAAATGATTATGTTATATTTATTCACTTAATTGTCAACATCTTTTCTATTTGTTCCATCTTAATCAGTTTTACCTTCGACCTTTTTAGGTACGCATGTGCATACCGTGCGTACAGGTAGCTATGCCCGTGACAGGTAGTGTTGAAAACATTACAGGTTATTTTACCGTAGCTGTTATCCTTGAGTTTTGCATAGTTTACTATCATAAAGTACGCTTTCTCTTTAGTAAACGTGATTTAACACATCAGCTCGGTCGGTAAATAAGCGACAGTCTGTTTCATCACCCAATTTCCCGTCATTTTTTCCCATTCTCTAATAACCAGAACTTTTGTAAGTTCCCAGAAAGTTTTTTTTATTATTATTTATTTATTTATTTCGAACAATTACAATGCACTACATTTGCAATTCATTACAATAAAATTCTAATTATTGGTTACTAAATTAATTTTACCTTACATTGAAACAAGTAACTGTTATCGTTTACAGAAGGGAAAGAAGTGAAAGAAAAAGAAAAAGAAAGACAAACTCCTCAAAAATACTACAGTTTATATATTAACAATTAAGGCAAGGGAGTTCCCTGAAAGTTAACTATAACAAAAAAAAAACGTTTCGGATTAATTTTAGCTGAGGATTCAGATTCTCTCAAGTGACTTGTAAAACGCTGTCACGCCTTGTAACACGCTGTGATGTCTTTGTCTTTAGGCTGAAGATGTTCCTTTTGCAGTGAAAACGTCGTCAGATCTTCTAACGGAAGAATCCTATTTGTACAAACAAACAGTGACTATTTTAGCTGGAGCTTTAGGTACCTTTACACTTCTGGGGCTTCTCTTTCATTATTGCTTTTATAAAAAAGCACCATCAAGACGTACATCAGAATCAGGTACTAAGATTTTATGCAAATAATATACACTAAAATGAGAAATAGCCTTTAGTAATACATGAATACAAATTAAAGATGAAAATAATGGCGTTGATGATAACGGTGGTAGTGGTGGTGGAGGTCTCGGTTATGATGGTGTGACGATGATGATGATGATGATGATGATGATGATGATGATGATGATGATGATGATGATGATGATGATGATGATGATGATGATGATAATGATGATGATGATGATGATGATAATGATGATTATGATGATGATGATGATGATGATGATGATGATAATGATGATGATGATGATAATGATGATGACGACAACGTTGAAGATAATGGTGTTAATTATTATGGTACAGATGATGATGATGATGATTGTTTTAGTGTTAACGATGGTGATAATAGTATATGTGAGGGTAATGTAAACTAAGGCTTGAAAAACCGTTGGATCAAACAAGATCGTTGAGTTTAGGACGTCTATGTTCATTAAAACGGCCCTTGAGGTGGTGTTTGGTTTTCCCAATATGTATATTAGAGGCGGCATTGAATTATGTAGATAGCATTAAAAGTATTACAAGTAATGTGAAATTTGATTTTGTCATATGTAGTAATGAGGGGTGGTGGTGTTGACAACGTTCGAGAAAATGATAACAGCGTTGGCTAGTGGCGCAGGTTGTGATTTTGGTCATGATAATGGTGTGGTGAGAAAGAATGATAGTTACTATAATGATGACGATGATAATAGTGGTGATGATCTTGTAATAGTGGTGATGATGATGATGATGATGGCCAGGTAAGCGATAGTGGTAACCGGGTAACGGTAACAGTGATGCTGATGATGCTTATGACGATGATGAGGATGAGCAGGACGAGGATCATGAGGATGGTGATGATGATGATGATGATGAGTCTAAACCTTTTGTTCTGAATTCTTATCTCAGCAGAGGACATCGTGGTTGTTACGACAAACTGCTCCCAAGTAAAACGAACTGAGACAATATCACAACTAAAGGAGGATATTTCTGAATTTTACGAAAGTTATAAGAAAAAGTATTTGACTTTACGCCACAAACATATAAAGGAGCATAAAGAGCTCAGAAGATTGAATCGTGACAAATATGGAACAGGCAAGTGGCAATTTGTGTTTTTTTATTATTATTATTATTTTGACGTCGTTTGATTATTCATCGAGACAGAAGATAGTGTATTTATAAGTAGAGAATCTGCATGCAATATACCCTGCGAGCAGAGGCTACATTTTCGCGGTATGAGCTGGCGTGCGAAAAGTAGCCTTTGCCGACAACCGTTCAAATCCGTCCAGAAATGTAGACGAATGAATTAAAAAAAAACGGGTTTTTTCCTGTTCTTGACCGGTTTAGAGCATTGCGTGAGTCTTGCGTCAGCGAATGAACGCTGACCATTATTGCGCCTTCATGCATCCCTTCGCGCCAAATTCTCGCATACGAACGCGGATCAACACAGCTCAAACGTAGCAACAGAAAAGTTCAAAACAATTTCAAAAATCCCTGTTTATGTATTTAAAAGAGCGTCGTCAACAACTTCAATAAGCTCTGTACTTTAAAGTTGTCGGAATACCGAAACAAGCTGCTGCCGGCGCTTCTTACGGGACCATGTAAAGATGGTTAATTTATCATATGGTAGTTTTTGTTTGCCAGGAAAAGAAAATGGATACTGCGGTGATTTTTGTTGTGTCACCTCTCAATGCAACGCTAAATGCACTGTTTTGAGACACAGATGGCAACCGGATGTTCAAAAGAATCATCGATCAGTTTTCTTTTAGTGGAAAAAGCAGAAAAAAGCTTTTAGCTGAACACTGATTCGCCCTCAAGGACTTCAACCTGGTTGTCTTCTTCACGGTGGAACGCTTGTCCTGTTCTGAAAAGAAACCAAAGCGGCAAAGTTTTTAAAGCATTTTCAGGTACAACTTGCACGTTAATGGTCAAGGAAGTTCCGTTTCTAAATGGAAATTTCAGTATTTATAGTTGTTTCATAGATGTTTTATACGACTTGAGACGGATTTTGGCGTTGACATTTGATGTCTTCGGCAGCTTTTACTTGCGTGAAATGATCCACGATACAGTTAGTATTACGCGAATTGCTTTTAAGGATAAAATTATGTGTTTTCGAATAAAATTTTTCGATGAATAATTTTTCTGACTACTGTTTTGTCTATGTTCTTTCATAACATTAGTTTAAAACACAATCGCGAGACTACAGCATCCAATTTATTTCAAGCATCACTTCTGCGTAGCGTTGTCGGCGAATTTCATTTTTCACTTTGAGCACAACTATTACTATAGGTAATATTAAAGCCGGAAAAATGTGCTCCCCGCAAAACAGACAGAATTTACTACAGTTGATAGCTTAAAAATACTTTCCTAAAAAAGACGATCCGGGGAAATTTTGGGCTAAAATACTTAAGACCAGAGGGGAAGAAGCAGAAAAACAAAACAAAAGCTCGAGGAGGAGAGTAGTTCGCAGGTAGTTTTCGCCAGTTTGATTCCCGCGAAACTCACGCAGATTTGACGAACCAGTTGCTTGCGAATCGCGTGACGAATTTTGCGCATGCACGATAGAAAATTGAACGGTTGTCGGCAGAGGCTACTTTTCGCACGCCAGCTCATACCGCGAAAATGTAGCCTCTGCTCGCAGGGTACATGCAATATGGACTGCATTTATAAAATTTTCGAAAAAGCAATTCTATGCCAGCGTATTTCCTAAGAAACGAGAGTTAATTCACGACACCTCTTTAAACTGATTACTGGGTTAAAATGTACAAAGGAAGACTACCTATTTAGCAAAAAGGTTTGAACCTAGTTTGAGGATTACAAATTTCATATTAAATATATTATTTATATTTATTATACACTTTCTTTTCACCAGGAACCAATGTAATCAAGAGCCTACTGGAATTTACTGCAAGTAAGTTGACTGTGCAACATTCATGAGATTCTTGGTATAAGACCACGTTCAACTTTTTCGCACCTTACCGTTAGTTAAGTAACTTGTCCTTAGTAATTAAATAGTCACAACTCCAGTACTATTACACATAAAGCCCTTTCACTCACTTCTGTGTAGAACCAAATAGAATATTGACCAAAAAAGTGTTATCGCATTTTAATTCTGCAGCTTCTCTTTAAAACAAACCTCTGCAAGATAAATAACTTCTAATTACTACCTTTTTCATGTAGGTCGCAGGGGGCAGTACCAGGTGACTAAAGATGCTGATGTCAACTCAATATTTGAAGGAATGGACCTCAGCATGTTCGACAAAGAAACAGCAAAAGATGGCGCTTCTAGAAAGCCACTGTGCCTAAAACTGAGTGTTGTCAACAAGGCGGCCGAATCAAAACAAGAAATTTTTATAGATATTTGTACAAAATCAAAACACTTTCCCAGCTTTACAAACGAAAAAAGTGAAAATGACTTAAAGACGTTTTGCATGTTGCCCGTCATCGTGACGAATAGACCAGATGCAATTAAGTTTCTGTTTACGATCCTAAACTTCAAAATCAAAGTTAAAGATAAGCAGCGTCAATCTGATGATCAGTAACTCATTGATGAGGGTTTGTCGTTAGAATTGTTTGTCACCAAAGTGAAGAATTAGCGTTTGTACTATGAGGACTAGTTTAATCAGGGACTGAATGGGTTTGACAGAGCCGACGTCTTTTACATCAAGGCCGAGGTAGTATCATCATCTTCAATGCCTCTACATGTTTTTCAAATAAATCTTACGCGAGTGTAATATAAACTTTGTGGTACTAGCACAAGAATAGCCATGACTGGTGTTTATAACGCGCGCCTTACCGGGCAATGTATTACAAACACCAGCTCCATCAGTCAGTTTTCATCCTGCGCGGGCATCAGCTAGCCGATAAATGTTCTACGCAGCGATAAATAGCCTTGCATGATTACCCAGAGCCGGTTTCTTGTTCAGCAACGGAAATTAAAACCAGAGACAAAGAAATTGCAGGAGTATATCTTCAAACATGAATGTTAGTTAGATATCTTAAAAGGGCCATGTCATGAGGATGATATTATTGTTATAGGTCAATTGTATACTTTGAAGTCATTATTTAGAGCTAGGAAATTTCCCGGGGATCTTACGTGTGAAAAGTACGGGGATGCTGTTCGACAAAAAAGAGTTACACAGGCAGTGTTAAATGTAATGATGTTGTTAAATGTAACATAAAATGACCAAAAATGTTATAACGCAGTGGCGGCTCCACGGGAGGGGCCGGGGGGGCCTCCCCCCCGTCCTATTTTTAGACCAAAATGAGGCCCGAAGAGCCGGAAAAATTTTTTTGGAGACCAGCCCCC